ATATATTAAGTAGTATTTAGAACAGAGGTGCCCAAAGTGGGGCCCGTGGGCCAAAATTGGCCCACCAAGCCATTTGATTTGGCCCACCAGCAGTCCTGGTTACTAGATTGTAATTATGTTAAGATTAGATATAAAATACAAGTCACTACAAGAGACATTTAGATTAGTTTTAAGCCCATTTCCAGATTTGCACACCTTATAAGACCACATACACTCAAATTTTAAATTATGAAAAGTCCCATGAGCCTTTGCTGCCTGAGCATACATTGAATTTTCTCCATGTCCATAGGTTGAAATAACCCCCCCCCCCCCAAATCAAAACAAAAGAATGTGGGCAACCACTGGCTACTAGCTTAATCATAAAAAATAAAACAACTTTACTTAAGTATTTACATTTCTTATATTATTGCATTTAGCCCACGGCCCTAAATCAAAACAAAAGAATGTGGGCAACCACTGGCTACTAGCTTAATCATAAAAAATAAAACAACTTTACTTAAGAAGTACTTGCATTTTTTATATTATTTCATTTGACCCACGGCCCTTAGGTTGATTTTAATTTTAGCCCTCTCAGGAAAAATGTTTGGGTACCCCTGGTTCAGAATGTACATACCCTGATGAGTTTAAATATACACATCATGAGCCTTTATMTCTTAGGCCTGACACTCTACTCCTATTTATTTTCCATTTCTTAGAGATGCATCTTATTACAATCCAGTGAATCAGTTAAAAATAAATCACTAAAAATCTGATTATTTGACTTTAAACGTAGAAGAGAATAGAGAATTAACGTCACCTARCTCTTGAGAAAAAACTGCATCAAATACAGTGACAAAAAAACTATTTTGAATTTAAATATTATCTTTGGGGCCAGAAAAAATGTGAACGAGGGCCGTATTTGGCCTGCAGACCTCGAGTTGGACACACGTGCCTTAAAGGAATACCTGCATGCTGAGTTTTATACTGAAATCATTTTATGATGGATCTGTAGCCATATTTTAATAGTAAGTGCTGGCTATTAATTAGCTGACTCAGCTGTAAAACTASATCCAGGCATTAATTTAGAGGTTTAATTAAATGCAACCAGTGAGACAAGAGACATTTTGTCAACAGAAAGATAAGTTTGACTCCAACGGTTAACTGTAAAGTTTTCTGCACAGATCTTGTGCCATAAGTAGCACTTCCARAACTAATTCTATCCCAGTATCTGTAATACTGACTAAGATTTAACCATTTGGAAATTTACAATGCTTTGATAATTCATTTAATGTTACGCTAACAGACAGATACACAAACCCAGACAGACCCGGGTGAAAACATRATCTGCCATCTTTAGGCGGCGTGTGATAATAACTTCCTCCTGCAGGTCTGTTCTTCCTGAACTGAACCATGATTTCTGTCACATCTGATGTCTTCGTACTGTCGTGCCTCTTCCCCAGGTAAAAAAAAAACAAACAAACAAAATAATAATAATAAAAAAAAACAAGAGGAGCTGGATTTAAACAGATGCATGTCGCTCTGGCTCGGCGTGTCTTCTCCACCCGCTGAT